GCCGCCGGGCACAGCGCGGCCCCGGGCGCTCCGCCCGCCGTGCCCGGCCCGGCCCGGCCCGGCACCACGGAGCGGCCGCCCCGCCGAGGGGGGAAGTGCCCTGGGTGCGGAAGGCGCTCGCCCCAGGTGGACGCGGAAAGGTGACATGGGAGTGCTGGGCTCCTGCGGGACCCGGCGGCCCGTGCCCTGGCTAGTGTCACCGCCGCTCGACGGGTGCCACTGCCGTGAAGCCCCCCGGAGTCCGAGCGACCCCGGGCTCCGCCTAGTGCGGAGCTGACGCGGCATTACGGTGGGCCTCGCGGCCGGCTCTTGCCGCGCACCTGCCGGCCGGGCCGGGCGAGGTCACCGGGTGCTCCCGGCCAGCGCAGACGTGCGCGGTGACCGCCGCACTGCCAGTGGTGGGAGAGCGCAGCGTAGCCAAAAAGGTACCATGAGCGGCCGGGGAGCGAACGACCCGGGCAGTGACGTCGCACCGCACCGTCTCCCTCCCGAGTTCCCTCCGCTTTGAGGCTTTTTCGTTGCCTGGTCGGCTTGTGATTTGAGGAGGTCGTTGTTGTTTAGGGAATTTTTTTAGATTCTGGTTTTGATTTTGGGCTGGTTGTTAAATAATTTTTTTTTTCTTCTGCACAAGTGCGGCTTATTTCTACTTGCTGTAAAGGGCAAGAAATGATCGTTCTCCCGAAACAATTTCACTTTTATCCTTGAGTCCGGGGGTGTTGTTATTGGTATCCAGAAGCCAGCAGTGCGGGGAAGAAATTGCGACTCTAAAGACCCCTTTTAACTTCGTTCTTGAAGCAACCGGCCTCTTTCGAGAAAGCAAAACGAGGGGATGCGGGTCCTGCCCCCGCGTCCTGCCCGAGTCCCCCAGCCCAGCGGCGGCCGACGAGCCCTTGCCCTGTGCAGGCTCCCCGAGGCGGCCCGCACCCACCTCATACCCGCACCGAGGAAATCACTCCTTCTCCGCGAATTGTGAACTTCCGTATCCTCACTGGCTGGGAAAATAAATGCCATTTATTTAGGCTGTTTGGGACTTAAAACAGCATTTTCGAAGCATGGATTTGTGAAAATAAACGAAAAATAGCCCCGGCGGCCGGCGGCAGCCGTGGGCTGCAACGTGCGCCAATCTCGGCTGCGCTGCCCTATGAGGGGACACTGCCAAAACTTCCTCTGCCGACTCTTATTCCCCTCTTTCATTAGTTTTTTTCTTACTGGACACTAAAAGGAGAAAAAAAAATCCCCATGCAGCCGTAATTTATGCCCTCTTCCCTACCTCGGGCTTGAATTAACCTGCATAGACCTTACCTTTGAAAATTTTTCAAAGTTGTCCTTTAAGTGCCATTTTCCCCGACATCTTTTTGTACTTTTCCAATTCTAGTTCCAGTTTCCTGTCCAGATTATACGATTAATTCCCCATATATGTGATTGAAATAACCCACATAACAAGATAATATTACAGATAAAAATGTAACCCAAAGCCGACATATGCAACCTGCCGCATTACAACAATCGATGAACGTGAATTTGAAGAGGGTTAGGGAGGCCCCATTTAGCAGTAAATTCCCCTGTAATAAATCGAAACTGCTTTCGAAACTATGTGTCTGTTCCAGGTAGGGACTGTGTGCTTAGTCACTGAGCATGGGGATGCCTCCGCGGAGCTTCTCTTTCCGAATCTGCCCTTAGGCGACTCAGTCGCAGTGGAAGGGCAGCGCCGAAACGCTGACGGTCCATAGGGCGACCCGACATGACGGCCACAAACCCATATGGGACTTGAGCACTATCTGCACCCACTCTTGGCGACATAGGCGCCCACAAAACCCCACGGTCTAGGTTTGGGGGTGTTATTTTAGATATTTAAGCCAGTCGGGCCACCTATGTCACTCCAGCTGGGGCACGACGGGCAGCCGAGATGCAAGGAGCGCGCAAATACCCGCGGATGGCAGTGGGACGGGGGCGTCGAGCTGTTCTCGGAGGTAAAAGTCACCTTAGGTGACGCGGGGGGAGCGGGGGGCGTCCTGCCACTTTAAAGCCCAGTTGCTACCCAAACACAAGTAAACAGTGGGGCCGGCGCGGCGGGGCGGGCCGGGGCCGGGGCCGCGGCCGGGGGCGGTCCCGTCCCGTCCCGTCGGGGC